CTCAACTAAATATTTTCACTATTTCACTGTGACTGAGTACAACACAACTTTAACCTTATCTAGGCCCGATCGATTAGATAAATGGTACAAACAACTGATAAGCTAGGGAAATAACAATTCATCGGTCATCTGATGTCCGAACCACCAGCCATCTGATCTGGTTTAATGAAACCACCGAAATGCCATGTGTTGTGGTCTTCATGTGGCCGGTGCGTTCGTCGCGCTTGCCTGTGGCCGGATTGATTGATTGATCGATCGATTGACAGATGCTGTCAGCAGGCACACACGCACGCACTCATGTCACACAGACTGACTCTACTACAATACGTATTGATTGGCTCCAGCCAATCAGGTATTCGTATTGAAGTGTTCCCACGCTGATTAATTGGTTGACTGTTTGAATGTCCGCTTGACCCGCATTCGGCTGTCTCATCAGCCTGTTGTTGGCCTGCCTGCCTTCCTTCCTTTCTACGTGTTTCCCGCTCCTGCTTGCTCACCGCCCTATGGAACGGCTGCACGTGTGCCCTCCACAATAAACGTACTGCATGATTGACTGAGTGCTTATTTACTTAAACGGGACAAAACACCATCGAGGAGTATAGGATCAAGATGACCACCTACAACCGCCTACAGGTGTGACTTTGGAACAGTTTCTGTGTTGGTACTGTTTCCATGTTCATCTTGGTGGTGTCTGGTTTGAGGAAGAGAAACCAAAGCGCGGGAACCGGTTTACCGAAATCTGCCTTGTGGTTATGCTGACCGGCAGAGTTGTTTACATGAGGCAGAGGAGGGAAAATGGAACCGTAAACTTGCTCACGAGTTTGATAGCACCAGTCAACACCTTTATAAATAGTTTAAATAATAGTCACAAATAGCATTATGATTGCTGGTTCTGGGGATCAATGCGAAGGTACTTGAATTTGTTGAATAAAACATACTGCGGTCGAGTCCATTTGATACGTTCCTCGTAGAAGTAGCCCTCATTTTGTCCCGTTTTCAAGAAGGAGCAAGCCAGGAACAAGGTTCCTCCTTCGGGCACATGGACAACGCGTTCGGTGACCGGTTCCACACGTGGATGTCCGAATGGTTTGTCAAACGTGCGTGGGATCACGTGCAATTGGACTAACTGATCAACCACCCGCATGCCGTCCGCACTAGTTGCTTCACAGGACCAGGCTCCGTTATGACGTAGTGGATGCACGCGTGTTAGGTGTAGTGGGGCCATCCAAATATTGTTCAAGGCTGGAATTCTGATCGGAGCGATGGAGTAGCTACTCAAAAACAGTAACAGAAGAAAGAAATGGCAGAATATGAGTTGCCGTTTGTGTTTGAGATGGTGGAGGTGAATTAGAGTAAACAAACAAAGATGCAATGCGTTATTCATAAATTGTCACGGTAATGATTTGAAAGTAGTTCCGGGCAATCTGAGCATATGGTTCGACTTGGCTAAGAAAATATTACAGTCACGAGCAACTACATTTCATGTGAAAATTGGAGGATTTGATTAAATTTAAAATGTGTATATAGCAAATGAAGGGTGAACTAAAAAGCTAGGAAGCACTGAACAGTTGTTTAGACCTGGTTGGGTCTCATCAGCAGTGAGAATCCATCGACCCAACTGGGAATCGAACCCGGGACCTACTAGCGCTAGTGCTGAGATGAGCAGGGTCTGTGGCCCGCAACAAGCTCGCAAAGATGGTTTGTGCTATATCCTCTAAACGGAAAATGAAAAGCGGTCTGATCAGCTACCCGGTGGTATAGCGGATAGCATGCTTGCGTTATGCTCATGAGGTCTTGGGTTCCATCCCCAGTTGGGTCGATGGATTCGCACTGCTGATGAGACCCAACCAGGCCAAAACAGCTGTCCAGTGATTCCTAGCTTTTTAGTTCACGCTTCATTGGTGCAATTGTCATTGTTGAATACGCCGAACCCCGTATTATACTAGGATGAGTCCATGTCTCATATAAATATACAAGCATTGACCAAACTAGGAGATTTGTTCCGCTCAGTGCTTCATTCTTCCAGCCCCATTCACGGGACTGATTGTGATATTGCCCCACATCAAACTCAACGTAGCTAGTATGCTACCCACTTATGTCTCTGCTTCCATTAACCACATGCCATTGAAATGTACGATTTCGCGANCCATGTAGACGATGAACTCCCATTTGAAAGATTGGATCATCAGACATGGTTGCTTACTATTTGTGTTGTTACTATTATTATCATCATTGTGCGTTATGGAGATGGTAGGTAATATATAGAGGTATGTCAACATGTTCTCGTTGTTTCATGTTACAAAGCACGTCCGCAACTGGACAAACCTCAAAAAATAATCCAAACATTGTTTTTTATTTCAAAGATCTATCACAGCCAAAGTTGACCGGAAACTTACGCTTTTTTGTCCTTCAGACGAACCCATCGGACGCGCGGTTCATCCACGGACAAAATCCAACATGGCAGGATAGCATCCTTCCCGGTCAGACGCTCAATAAGCGGGATCAAATTGCGACTTCGCTCGTCGTCAAATTTGCATGGCCATCGGGTGAAGGCTTGAAA